GATTAGTCGATATATGGATAAATGAGTGTATGATGAATAAGAGAAACTAATAAATGCGTGAATAGGAGGATGAGTTAGTCGATATATGGATAAATGAGTGTATGATGAATAAGAGAAGCGAATAAATGCGTGAATAGGAGGGTGGATTAGTCGATCTATGGGTAAATGAATATGTAATGAATATATGTACGTTAACGAATCGATAGATAAGTGAATAAATAGGTAAACCATTTGAAAAGAAGAACATAAACAGATCATGCAATAGATAAATAAATAAAGAAAAAAGAAAAAGAAAGGTAACTAAAGAAATACAAGCAAATGTACAAAGAAAGGAGTAAATAACAAGATGGTAAACAAACACATAAACAAATGACAAAATAACAAACAACAAACACAAAAACAAATTGACAAAATGACAAACAACAAACATAAACAAATGACAAACAACAAACAAACAAATGACAAACAAAACAACAAACACAAACAAATGACAAAAAAACAAACAACAACATAAACAAATGACAAACAACAAACACAAACAAATACAAACAAACATGACAAACAACAAACATAAACGAATGACAAACAACAAACATAAAACAAATGACAAACACAAACATAAACAAATGAACAAATGACACAACAACCATAAAACAAATGACAAACAAAATAACAAACAAACAAATGACAAACAAACAACAAACAAACACAAACCCATAAACAAACACAAACATAAGCAAACAAACAACAAAACCCTCTCCCTCACCTCACCCCCACCCACAACCAGATCACGTCACCGCCCCAAGGTCGTCCGCTAACCGCTGCCCCTTGTCTCCCCAACAGCTGACTCGGCGCCGCAACAGAAGAAGCCAAGCCGAAGACGAAGCCACGATGCCCGCTCGCCCTTGCAGGTGCCCGGTCCCTGTCAATGGGTCTCTGCCCGCTGTGGGTATCTGGGCTTTTTTCTGGATTTTTTTGGATTTTTGGGGGGATTTTTTTCTGGTTATTTTATTTTTTGTTTTTGTTGTAGTTTTCGGTTTGTTTAGTTATTTATTTTGGCTTTTTTATTATTTTTCTTTTTGTTTTATTGATTATTATTATTGTTTTGTTTTATTGATTATTATTATTTTGTTTATTTTTTTATTTTTATCTATTTATTTGTTTATTTATTTATTCTTTTTTGAGGGCGTGAGGGGTGATATTTTTCTTTTTCTTTTAAGGAGTGGATTTCTTGAATTTTTATTTGTTTATTTTTGTTTTGAATTTATTTGTTTTTTTTAAGGGATAGTGGCTGTTTTTTTTTATTTTTATTTTTTGGATTTATTGTTCTCTTCTTTTCTTTTCTTTTTGATGCTCTATTTTTTCTTTTTTTACATTTTCTTCATATTTCTTTTTTTCTTTTTCTTGTCTTTGTTCTTTTTGCTTTGTTATTCTTTCCTTTTCTTTACTTTGTTATTACTTATTTATTTTTTCTTGTCTTTCTTCTTGTTCTTATCATTCCTCTTGTTATTTTGTTCCTTGTTTTTTCTCTCTTTTTCTTATATTCTTTCATCTCATGTTTTCTGTTCCCTTCATCGTCCATTTTCTTGTCTTTATTGTTCTACGTCTTTTTCTTCTTTTTCTTCTGTGATTTTGTATTTGATTATAACCTTTTTCCTTTTTAATTTTACTTCTTCCCTTTTCTCTCTTCTCACTTTCTCATATCTCTCCCCCTCTTCTCCCTTTTATTTCCCTCTCCTACCTCCCTTTCTCATTTCTCTTCCTCTCTCCCTCCCTTTCTCATTTCCCTTCTTCCTCCTTTTTCCCCCTGTTCTCCCTTTCTCTTTTCCCTCCCTCTCCTCCCTCACCTGCCTGAATTCCTTTCTTTCAATCTCTCCCTTTTTCATTTCATTCCCTCACTCTTCTCCCTTGTCTCCCTCTCTCATTTCTCTGTCTCCCTTTCTCACTTCCCTCCCTCTCCTCCCTCCTCCAGAGGACGCGCCAGTCCGTCCTGAGCGGCAACCTGCCCTTTCTTTTGATCTCCCCCTTTCGCATTTCCTTCCCTCTCCTCCCTTGTCTCCCTTTCTTTCCTTTCTCACTTCCCTTCCTCCCCCCTCCAGAGGACGCGCCAGTCCGTCCTGAGCGGCAACCTTTCTTTTGATCTCTCCCTTTCTCATTCATTTCACTCCCTTTATTTATTTCCCTTACTTGCCTCCCTTCCTCACTCACCCCCTCCCCTCCCTCCCCCCAGAGGACGCGGCAGTCCGTCCTGAGCGGCAACCTGCCCTTTCTTTTGATCTCTCCCTTTCTCATTTCATCCTCCTCCCTTTTCTCCCTTTCTCATTTCCCTCCCTCTCCTCCTTGTCTCCTCTCCTCCCTTTTCTCCCCTTCTCACTTCCCTCCCCCAGAGGACGCGGCAGTCCGTCCTGAGCGGCAACCTGCTCTTTTTTTTTTTATCTCTCCCTTTCTCATTTCCCTCCTCCTCCCTTTTCTCCCTTTTTCATTTCCCTCCCTCTTCCTCCCTCGTCTCCCTTTTCCCCTTTCTCACTTCCCTCCCTCCCCTCCCTCCCCCAGAGGACGCGGCAGTCCGTCCTGAGCGCAACCTGCTCTTTTTTTTTTATCTCTCCCTTTCGCATTTCCCTCCTCCTCCCTTTTCTCCCTTTTTTCATTTCCTCCCTCTCCCCTTGTCTCCCTTTCCTCCCTTTTCTCCCTTTCTCACTTCCCTCCCTCCCTCCCTCCCCCAGAGGGACGCGGGCAGTCCGTCCTGAGCGGCAACCTGGCCGAGGTCCGCGCGTGGCTGGCGGAGGAAGGGAGCGACGTGAACGCGGCCGACCAGCTGGGCTTCCCCCTCCTGTACACGGCCTGCGCGACGGGACACCGCGAGATCGTCAGGGAGCTCCTCCGGCACCACGACCTCCACCTCAACGCCAGGCACTCGGGCTCGGAGAAGTACGTGGTGGGGAGGGACTGCCGCGACCTGACCCCCCTGTGCGTCGCGGCTTTCAACGGCCACGAGGACTGCGTGGAGCTGCTGCTGAAGGCTTCTCTGCCGGTGAGTTTCTTTTTTTTTCTGGTATTTCTTTTTAGGGGTTGGGGGTTGGGGTTGGGTGGGGGGTGAGGTTAATGGGGGAAAGAGAAAGGAGGAAATATTTTATTATTATTATTATTATTATTATTATTAATTGGGGAAAGAGGAAGGAGGAAACATTATATTATTATTATTATTATTATTATTATTATTATTAACATTATCACTATTATTGGTTTTTATTTTATTTATTGGCTTTTTAGGGAGGGAATTACCAGATATGGACGAACAGCATAAAAAGGATTCATCTTTCGTCTTGGTGGGAGGGGAGGTTAACGGGAAAGGAAAGGAAGTAAAGAAAAGGATCAATGGTTAATGGTTAAAATAAAAATAAATGTGCTAAGGTCATATAACACTATAGGGAGGTATAGTAAAGGGTGGTAATATGACGGATGATAGTTGCTATGCGTCAACTATGTAGAGTAATATTTTAAGGTTAAAGATGGGTAAAGGAATTGATAAGTTGAATGGGTTATGGGTAAGGGAATTAGATCAAGTGATGGATATATATGCGTATGAAGGAGAAGAGGTCAAAGCAGAAAGTGCGATATGTTGGGAGGTGGGTGAAGGGAGGATAGGTGGGGAAAAGCAGAGGCACGAGCTGTAGTAAAGCGTGGACAGGACAACAGAATGTGTGGAAGTGAAAGAGGGACACTGCATAGGGGGCATAGCGGGCATAGGGGCGGGTCAGAGCATGACATTAGATGGGCGTGTGTTAGACGGGTGTGACCAATACGTAAGGATGCAGGAGCCGTCTCCCAACGCGTGTTCCGGTGAAGTGGAGCTGACTAAGAGGAGATTGATGGTTTTACAGTATGTAATTTATTATTGTGGAGCTTCTCGCCAATGAGAAGGAAAATTTGCTGATGTCCATATGTGGGTAAAAATAGTTAATATGAAGGATAGAGAGGAAGATGGGAGGTGCTGGAGCAAAGGATAGTGAATACCGTGAAGGCCTTGATGAGTGTTGAGGCACGACTGTAAGGCAGCACTGAGTTGAGAGGAAGAAAAAGGAACATTATAGGACTGATCAAAGGATAGGGTGAAGGTGATGGCGGTGCGGTCCCTGATGGCCTTAATGGAAGAGAAGTATGGGAAAGGTGAGAGCCACTACTGACCCGGCTGAAAGAGTCACCCGGTTCATTAGCAACTTAGATAGAATGAGGCCTTAAGGAGTGGTTAGTAGTTGCAGTGTTGTGAGTGATGGTGAAAGGAGAGCTTTAGGTCTGGGAGGCAGGAGATAGAGAATTGATATGGGCATTTGATGAAGGGGCAAGCCTCATTGTCCCCAATAAGAGTATTACATCTTCATTACTGGCCATGGGAATCCTTGACTATGTTGGGGGAAAAAAGGCCATCTGTGAGGGTCCTCTTTATTGGAAGGAGCTAGACAAGTAAAATGGTTCCCTCAGGCCTTTCCCTTTTGCTTTTCATCCTTTGAGCACGACTCTTGCACCTTAGGTAGTGGATCGTAGAAGGGGATGGAGAAGGGACGGAAGCGGAAGAGCAGTGGTTGCTTTTAGTCCGACTTGGAAACGGAAGAGGAAAATACTGGCATTTCTTATTATTTTGGGGGGATGGATTTTGGCTTGCCTGAAAAAAGGTATGGGGCAAGTGTACA